AGCCATGTTCTTGTTAAATATGGGGAATATTTCTGGACGATAAATGCAGAAAAAAAAAAATTAATAACAGAGCTGGTCTTTTAAACAAAATTAGTGACAGGACGTTCATGACTGAAATTTAAACAAAACGACCCACACTCATATCCACTATTGAAGACAAATACATGATAGTTATAGAGGGGTTTCGGTAAGGGCCATTTACTGCATTCTCTTGAAGTAGACAGCGATTTATCTACAACTCGACGACCACTAAACAAACTCTCAACTAACGCTTTTCCGCGGAGAAATTACCTCCCCTGTTTATTTTCATTCTAACTTGGTTTATGATTTGTTTTACCTAATTCATGTCGTAAAACTATTAAATAAAGAACTTAGTATTTTTTAAATTGTACATTTTTATCACAGATATTAGTTAACTATATAAATATTCTATCTAAAGCAAGTATATTGATGTGATAAAAAAATGAAACCAATTAAAAATAATATTTATAGGATAAGGACTTTTCTGTTCTTACTCACGTTAATAGCTTTAACAAACTTTAGTTTTTGTTGAGATCCTGCTCTATGGAGTGGACCTCTTAAATGAATGAATACAAGTATAATTATTAACTTAGGGGTCTGTAGTTTATATATGCAACTTACCCACCTCACTGCGACAGAAGAGTCTGCGTAAGTCTGAGACAAAACGTTTTCTGAGTCGTTAACATATGTTCACCTACTGTGTATCTATTTGTGATATCAAAATATTTCATCGTGATTGAAAGAAATAGTGATATACGGATACACAGGATTAAAGTCCTGAGTATATTTAAATAGAAAATGTACATATGTGAAAAGTGTGTGTTTTGATCATGAGAGATGTTTTGAATGATAAACATATTTTTTTTTCAATTTTCACTGAAGTGGATTGGAATTTGAAATGTTGTTTGGAAAAAGGTTGTGCACATGGGTCCGAGTACGCTAACATAGCCAAAAATGTAAGTGAGTTGCTTCCCCTGAAATTTGCCAGATTGATTTACATGTATAACTTATTATTATGACATGACATGACAAGACATAAAAGGTCATTAGTTCCATCAACCGGTATCACATATTTAGCTGTAGCTAATTTATAGTAGTCATATTTCAAGATAATAGAATTACATAATTCAAAATGTTAATACCTATGGCAGTAAAGTAAAATATACAGTCACAATTATCGCAATAAAATGATAATAACGAAATATGTATGTCGGTAAAATATAAACCTGACAAAAGTAGTATCGGACTGTGATAACAAAGTTTTTCTTATAGGCAAGCTTTTGTACAGCATGCAACTACCGCTCCCACGGTCGTAGAAACCCTACAACCTTTTGAGTGAAGAGCATCATTATTTTACGAAGATTAACAACAAGATGTAAGTATATATGGTACAATGATTACATCTAGCACGTGACCATTTTAGTACATGTATATATGGTACAATCATCACACCTAGCACGTGACCATTTCAGTACATGTATGTATATAATTTTAGGACTTGGTATACTAAGAATAAGTTGCAAATTTTATGTACATCAAAGAGTCAATTTTGATTTTCAGATGATCTCAGTTATAACTAGTTAATAGTCAAAGAAAAACCCTTGTAAACTTTATAAAATCGGTGCCATTTACTCGATTTAGCCGTATCACAAGGAAAATTAAGGCGTAATGGTAATAATATCAGGGGACTTTTCGGCAGTTGTGTAATCAAATGAACAATAAGACATGATAAAATAACCTTATGTCCCTGTAACCTACTCATCCATGATCAAATAACCTTATGTCCCTGTAACCTACCCATCCATGATAAAATACACCTTATGTCCCTGTAACCTACCCATCCATGATAAAATACACCTTATGTCCCTGTAACCTACCCATCCATGATAAAATACACCTTATGTCCCTGTAACCTACCCATCCATGATAAAATACACCTTATGTCCCTGTAACCTACCCATCCATGATCAAATAACCTTATGTCCCTGTAACCTACCCATCCATGATAAAATAACCTTATGTCCCTGTAACCTACCCATCCATGATAAAATAACCTTATGTCCCTGTAACCTACCCATCCATGATAAAATAACCTTATGTCCCTGTAACCTACCCATCCATGATCAAATAACCTTATGTCCCTGTAACCTACCCATCCATGATCAAATAACCTTATGTCCCTGTAACCTACCCATCCATGATCAAATAACCTTATGTCCCTGTAACCTACCCATCCATGATAAAATAACCTTATGTACCTGTAACCTACCCATCCATGATGAAATAACCTTATGTCCCTGTAACCTACTCATCCATGATAAAATAACCTTATGTCCCTGTAACCTACCCATCCATGATAAAATTAACCGATAAAACACAACTAGCATCCCTGTAAATTAGAAATGTACAGCTACGCTCATAAATATCATTAAAAGCAAGCTGTAGATAGTTTTGCGTTTGTTTGGTTTTTTCCAGTTCACGTGGTGATGTAAAATATGAACCAAGATTTCTAACCCTAAAAACTTTTCTATCTTCGTTAACTGTCGGTATTGAAGTTAATCTGTTTTCGTTGTTTGTTATTTTTTTATATCATTTTTAGGTGTTGAAGCCTACATAGTCGGTACATATTTTATCATAACTACAATGTAGAAGGAACCACTTGTTCTTTGCATTATAAATAAAACCAATTCCAACTTCCGATTATAATGATCACACAACTCACAGTATATTTAAATTCCTGCGGATTGGGGAATAAAGGGGCGTAACTCTGCATATCCTGTAGATTGAGTCGGAAAAATGACTAGCGAATGTTTTTCCAATTTCTAAAAAATATAATCTTAAAACACGGTCCCATATTTATACACCTGACTTGGAATGAGATATTTCAGTGTCTGATGATAAGAAGAGTGGGTGTGGGGGAGGGGGAGCGCTGGCCTTATTTGAGAATGGACTCTTTTGTTGGGCGTTTCATGTCTGCTGGAAAATGCTTTTGTCCGCTCCGTCTATAAAATCCTGAATCCCTCACTGTAATTTCCTAAGTTTATCCAGAAACTAGTGTGGCACTTTCTAACCTTGATCTAAGTGTTAAACTGTGAGTGACCTGCGTCACAGATATATAGTGGTTCAAGTCAGGTCATCAGATAACTGGACAGCTAATAGGTTATCTACCTATGTGTCAAACCCAACATTTTGAAAAAGGAATGTATAGAGACGAAATTAAATTATGCAAACAAATTGATAATCGCATAAAACACTTTTACGTGTTCATCAATAATGAGATTTAAATTACGTGATGAGTTTTCAATGTAGTCTGACAAATTGTCCACGTCAGTTCATTATGATGTGTTTATCAATAATGAGATATTGTCTCTAAAAATATCTCCCTCGGATTGAGATATCTGTATATACATGTACTTAGGAGGTTTAGGAGGTTATAAATTATATAACCCCACAAATGATACTGTTGTTTCGGAATATTACTTTTGAACACTATTTATTTCTGCTTAGCATTTCTACCGGCCATTCTTTAATTGTTGGTAACTTGTAAAGACCTGTTCAGCTTTATAAAACTTTAAACACCATAAGGTACTGACAAAATAACAACATACGAAAATCATTTCACAAGTCATGTTTATATTTCACAAAACAAGTTTATTTGTCATACAACATGTTTGTTTATTACTAATCAATAACAACTTCTCATGACAAGGGACTCTCGATGATCTGGAGACAACTGTTTCATCAGTTTAAAGGCACCAAGTTCACGTGACAGGTTCTTCACCTGTTCACACAAGGCATTTGACTATCATCTAGTTCAGAACGCTCAGTTTGGAGTGGTTCTTGTTCTCTCTGGTTTCGTATTAAGATACTCAAACATTCAAAATTGAGCGTTTTGACAAATACTGGCTCATTATGCATCGTTAAGCATTAAATAGCTGACAATGTTGGACATGATATATGAAGCATACTATTATTATTAATTCACAAAACAACTTGGCAAGATACATACTTATAAAGCTCACCAGTGGCAGATGTCACTAGACATTAACAAGTTCACAAACCGCTACTTTGCAACGTCTATGTCACAATGTACTGTTCGTAGATCAGTAGATCACAAGTAAAAAAGCGATTTGATAACGCATGGTGATGTTTGACAATATCAATTATGATTAGGTTTTGATGATTCTGAGATCGCACGAACGAAAACTCGATGACACCACCAGTTAGTTTGATACTAATTAAACAATGACTATATCGGTGTGATGTAAACACACATATGGCACACCATCATAATGATGCTTGTTAACATATCACTACCGTGAGGAGCGTGTCTATAGCATCATCACACGAATACTTTAATTAGTACTGAGCCTATCAAACGGAGTCTTTTGTTACAAAACCGTAGTTGTATGGATAAACACACCAGTACAGTAACTGCTAAAAATCTCATCTCATTCATAAATAAATCAGAAAAAAAAAACACACGAAAAACACGAACATATATTTGTATGTTATAACTGCACTGATGTTACATGTATCTCGTTGTATTACGTCCCAAAAACATTTGAGTCTGATGAAGAGATCCAGAACCACACAAACTGTCATTAAATGTCCGTAAATAAAAATACAAGTGTTGTAGAGGACATGTTCCCCTGATGCCATTGGTCATTCTAATCAAAGGCACATATTTTTTCCTCCGTTTAAAATTGTTCCCGTTCAGCGTTGCTATATTGAAGTGTTCGGTTCAAAGATGTTATAATTCCGGTTTCTATATCTCATATCGTAAGTTCCGGTTTAGAATTAGTATTTGATTTTCGGTGTTTTCTATAACAATACGGTGTACAAGGCATTTTGTCTCATTAACATTCGCGTAACAAACACACGCACTCTCCTGATCCACCATAGGTTGTGTCTATCTACTCAAAGGACACAAGACAGCATCCGTGTTGAGGAAACTTCCAAAATGCATTCTCCGTATCTATAAATCACTGATACATTTCGTTTGCGCCTGAAACAGTTTGTCCACATGGAGTTCGTCTGTCCAAACGTCCACAAATGCACTTCTGTACATGGAGTACCCGGGCGGTAATCTCTATTCGATTTCATCTACAAAACCCCGGACACTGAAAACATGGACGTAGTAACTTGCTCCATTGTAGATGATTATCAACGCAAGCATAACCAGTAAGACACAATGGGCAGCGAAAAAGTAGTAACAAACAATGACGCCGGTCAGAGAGACAAAACAGAATAACCAGTTCGACAGGAAAAAACAAATACTGCGGGACCTACAAAACATAAACAATTCATTAGCATTACACTATTATAAAGATGCGAACACTAGCATTCTGATAAACGCTTTACTTTTGTTGACCTAAACAGGTTATTAAACTACTATGATAATTCTTACTCTTCCCTACAACGGACTAACCCTTCAACACAACGGTTAAGTACCCTTCCCCGCAGCAGCTGACATACCCTTCCCTACACCGGTTTACTTACCCTTCCCCCACACTGGTTAACTAACCCTTCCCCACTACAGTTGACTTATCCTTACCCGCAGCAGCTGACTTACCCTTCCCCGCAGCAGTTGACTTACCCTTCCCCACACCGGTTAACTAACCCTTCCCCACAGCAGTTGACTTATCCTTCCCCGCAGCAGCTGACTTACCCTTCCCCGCAGCAGTTGACTTACCCTTCCCCACAGCAGCTGACTGACCCTTCCCCGCAGCAGCTGACCTACCTTTCCCCGCAGCAGCTGACATACCCTTCCCCACACCGGTTGACTTACCCTTCCCCAGACCGATTGACTTACTCTTCCCCGCAGCAGCTGACTTACCCTTCCCCACAGCAGTTGACTTACCCTTCCCCACAGCAGCTGACTTACCCTTCCCCGCAGCAGCTGACATACCCTTCCCCACACCGGTTGACTTACTCTTCCCCGCAGCAGCTGACTTACCCTTCCCCACAGCAGTTGACTTACTCTTCCCCATACCGGTTGACTTACTCTTCCCCGCAGCAGCTGACTTACCCTTCCCCACAGCAGTTGAACATTTTATGTAAACAGCCCCCTTCCTTGGTTCCGAGGTAGTTATAACTGAGGAAATGTTCCGGACCGGGTTTTTTAATCACGTGTATTACCAGTGCGTACATTCCCTGTAAAGAAACACAATGGAATAAATTATGAGTACATTACTCTTTCAAAAACCGACATATTTAATTCGATGTGGAAAACTTGAGAAAGGTTGAGTTTAAGGGAGTCCCTTTGATATAAAAACTTACACTGTGAAAGATAAAACAACAGAGAGGGACAACGAAGAGCCAGACAATCATTTCTGGATCCCAGTCCGTACTTCCATGGTTGAAAGTGTTAACCCAGTATGTAGATGTACTGCTAGGATACCAGCGTATTCTGCAATCAAACAGTGATATACAAAATGTGATTCAAAGGAGTCAAATTTAAACAAACGACAGTATTCCAGGGACCATTGAGGGATAAAAACTTACACAGACGACAGTATTCCGGGGACTACTGAGGGAGAAAAACTAACACAGACGACAGTATTCCGGGTACTATTGAGGGAGAAAAACTAACACAGACGACAGTATTCCGGGGACTATTGAGGGAGAAAAACTTACACAAACGACAGTATTCCGGGGACTATTGAGGGAGAAAAACTAACACAAACGACAATATTCCAGGGACCATTGAGAGAGAAAAACTTACACAGACGACAGTATTCCGGGGACTATTGAGGGAGAAAAACTTAGACACCGACGACAGTATTCCGGTGACCATTGAGGGAGAAAAACTTACACAAACGACAGTATTCCGGGGACTACTGAAGGAGAAAAACTTACACAGACGACAGTATTCCGGGGACTACTGAGGGAGAAAAACTTACACAGACGACAGTATTCCGGGGACTACTGAGGGAGAAAAACTTACACAAACGACAGTATTCCGGGGACTACTGAAGGAGAAAAACTTACACAGACGACAGTATTCCGGGGACTACTGAGGGAGAAAAACTTACACAGACGACAGTATTCCGGGGACTACTGAGGGAGAAAAACTTACACAAACGACAGTATTCCGGGGACTACTGAAGGAGAAAAACTTACACAGACGACAGTATTCCGGTGACTATTGAGGGAGAAAAACTAACACAGACGACAGTATTCCGGGGACTACTGAGGGAGAAAAACTTACACAGACGACAGTATTCCGGGGACCATTGAGAGAGAAAAACTTACACAGACGACAGTATTCCGGGGACTATTGAGGGAGAAAAACTTACACAAATGACAGTATTCCGGGGACTATTGAGGGAGAAAAACTTACACAAATGACAGTATTCCGGGGACTATTGAGGGAGAAAAACTTAGACACCGACGACAGTATTCCGGTGACCATTGAGGGAGAAAAACTTAAATAAACGACAGTATTCCGGGGACTATTGAGGGAGAAAAACTTACACAGACGACAGTATTCCGGGGACTATTGAGGGAGAAAAACTTACACAGACGACAGTATTCCGGGGACTACTGAGGGAGAAAAACTAACACAGACGACAGTATGCCAGGGACCATTGAGAGAGAAAAACTTACACAGACGACAGTATTCCGGGGACTATTGAGGAATAAAAACTAACACAGACGACAGTATTCCGGGGACTATTGAGGAATAAAAACTTACACAGACGACAGTATTCCGGGGACTATTGAGGAATAAAAACTTACACAGACGACAGTATTCCGGGGACTATTGAGGAATAAAAACTTACACAGACGACAGTATTCCGGGGACTATTGAGGGAGAAAAACTTACACAGACGACAGTGGGAATTGAGAGAGAAAAACTTACACAGACGACAGAGAAAAACTAACACAGACGACAGTATGCCAGGGACCATTGAGAGAGAAAAACTTACACAGACGACAGTATTCCGGGGACTATTGATGGAGAAAAACTAACACAGACGACAGTATGCCAGGGACCATTGAGAGAGAAAAACTTACACAGACGACAGTATTCCGGGGACTATTGATGGAGAAAAACTAACGGGGACTACTGAGGGAGAAAAACTAACACAGACGACAGTATTCCGGTGACTATTGAGGGAGAAAAACTTACACAAACGACAGTATTCCGGGGACTATTGAGGGAGAAAAACTTACACAGACGACAGTATTCCGGGGACTATTGAGGGAGAAAAACTTACACAGACGACAGTATTCCGGGGACTATTGAGGGAGAAAAACTTACACAGACGACAGTATTCCGGGGACTACTGAGGGAGAAAAACTAACACAGACGACAGTATGACAGGGACCATTGAGAGAGAAAAACTTACGCAAACGACAGTATTCCGGGGACTATTGAGGGAGAAAAACTTACGCAAACGACAGTATTCCGGGGACTACTGAGGGAGAAAAACTTACACAAATGACAGTATTCCGCGGACTATTGAGGGAGAAAAACTTACGCAAACGACAGTATTCCGGGGACTATTGAGGGAGAAAAACTTACGCAAACGACAGTATTCCGGGGACAATGTGAATGAATGAAGATGAAACCTTGTCGTGGTTATGAAATACTAAAGAGTTCCGGTACACCACCATGGCCCACAACAGAGGACCATTGGCTATCCCAAACACTACGGCGAACATCCGAGGCGAATCGGCGATCCTGTAAAAAATACACAGGAGCTACATGTGTGTTGTATCTTAAGGAATTATAACGAGTAATGAACATCAACGAGCTTAGGACCAACCTAAATGTTTGTGGCGAGAGCTGTAATAAATTGTCTGTCACATGACCTTACCCAAGGTGGAAGTAAGTTGTCATCAAATGACTGTCACGTGACCATAAACATGGTGTAAGTAAGTTGTCCTCAAATGTCTATCACATGACCATACTTGTGTTGGCAGTACGTTGTCATTAAATGTCTGTCACGACTGTCACGTGACTTTAAACATGGTGGGAGTTGTCAACAAACGACTGTCACGTGACTTTAAACATGATGGGAGTTGTCGTCAAACGACTGTCATGTGACTATAAGCATGGTGGGAGTTGTCAACAAACGACTGTCACGTGGCTATAAAATGGCAGAGGTTGCCAACAAACGACTGTCAGGTGACTTTAAACATCGTGGGAGTTCTTCAAACGACTGTAAATAAACTATTCAACATTAATGGACGGTTTACATGTGTTGTTATAATTCCTAATCATATAAAGAATTAGAAGATTTAGTGTTCAGTACCTTCAGTAAATGATGCTTGTAAAATGTGATTCTCAACATGTATTCATGTATTTAGAGCTCCAATGGACTTGCTACCCCATGTCAACTTTCTTTTACCATAACAAATTGTCACGACTCTCGCACATTCTACACATAACTTTAATGTTTCTTAAGTCTTCAATACCAGAAAGTCCGAGTTAAAAATAACAACAGATTTATATCTCAAGAGTGATAGCTTCAGGTTACAAGCTTACCATTCTGTAGGATTCTTACCAGTTAAAACTTACCATATAAAAATATACCAAGTGAGGTTGGCATAGTAACAGAAGTCCAACAGGAAGTACTGCCATTTATTTTTACTGAAACATTGTTACAAACAGTGAACATAGTTATACAAGCGCTCTTATAAAATAATAGGAAAATCTGGTAAATTTAAGGATCCTGTTATTAGATCTCTCTACGAACATTTTGATATGACTACGAGGGATACCGATTAAAATACTAGACATTAATTGACGAATGGCTACGAGATCAAAATATTACATGTATACACAAACATGTCGTATGTCTACGGCAGGTACCAATCAAAATAAGAGATATAAATTGTTTTATGGCTACGAGAGGTACTCATCAAAATACTAGACATTAATTTATTTATGGCTACGAGAGGTACTAATCAAAATACTAGACATTAATTTATTTATGGCTACGAGAGGTACTAATCAAAATACTAGACATTAATTTGTTTATGACTACGAGAGGTACTAATAAAAGTATTACACGTATACAAAAATATTTTGTATGGCTACGACAGGTACCAATCAAAACACTAGAAATCAATTGGTTTATGGCTAAGAGAGTTACCAATTAAATATTGGACATTAATTATTGTATGGCTACAAGTGGTATCATGATACTAGATATAAGACTGTTGGTTGTTATAAAAAAATATTTTTTCTTGTACTTACAAATAGATGATGATGCGAATGGTGATGATGATGGGTAGAGATACAGCGTAGAAGATAGGGAGCGACCACTGCGCGGACACTGTCATGTGTGTTAAAACTACCAACACCACTACAACGAACACATGGTAAATCTTCTCCCGCAGTCGACTTTTTTTCTTCTGTAAAGAGGTCAGGCATTTAAATGAAATACCAAAATTTTCAAACGCTGTAGAAATCACAATTTACAAACAAAAAAGGTATCATAATGGCAAGGTTGAAATTAGTCAGAAAGCGTTCAAGGGAACTGCAAATAAGGGCGAAGGGGGATAACTCTCATATTAATTCCTTTATGATGGAGGACGACAGTCGGTCTTGGGAATAAGTTGAAATTACGATTGATCATTTACACGCACCCATGATCGAATATTACTTTGGATTTTGTTGTTTGGGCAGAGTTCTAAAAGGAATTAAATCTAATTTTGATTTCAAAACCAAGTGTCACTAGTAGTTAGATATAACTTCTATAAATCGCCTGCTGTCGACCCAGTAGTATAAAGGGATAGGGTACAGACATACTGAGATGACATGGACTTTAAAACTGACCTCAAGTGACATTTGATACACGTGCGACATGTAAACTTTGTATGATAGTAACACACAAATAGAGAAGTGTGAGCTATAACGATATTCCTATCAGTAAACAGATCCAGGTTGTACCCATCAATATCTTACTGATAACTAACAGTTTACACTAACTGGTACCTTACACCGTAATATAGAGGCTGTATGCGCCCACGTGCATGTAGTCCGAATAACTTACTCAATATCACCTGTACAAGGTTAGAGTTACAACGTACTGTACATGGTTAGCTTTACTACGTTCTGTACGTGGTTAGAGGTACCACGTCCTGTACTTGGTTAGAGTTACTACGTTCTGTACGTGGTTAGAGGTACTATATTCTGTACATGGTTAGAGGTACTGCGTTTTTGACGTGGTTAGAGGTGCTACGTTATGTACGTGATTTGAGGTATACGTCATGTACTTAGTTAGAGATACTACGTCCTGTACATGGTTAGAGATACTATGGTTTGTACGTGGTAAGAAGTACTACGTTCAGTACGTGGTAAGAAGTACTACGTTCTGTACATGGTTAGAGGTTCTACGTTCAGTACGTGGTTATAGGTTTTACATTCTGTACATGGTTAGAGATACTACGTTCTGTACGTGGTAAGAAGTACTACGTGCAGTACGTGGTTAGAGGTACCACGTCCTGTACTTGGTTAGAGTTACTACGTTCTGTACGTGGTTAGAGGTACTATATTCTGTACATGGTTAGAGGTACTGCGTGTTTGACGTGGTTAGAGGTGCTACGTTATGTACGTGATTTGAGGTATACGTCATGTACTTAGTTAGAGATACTACGTCCTGTACATGGTTAGAGATACTATGGTTTGTACGTGGTAAGAAGTACTACGTTCAGTACGTGGTTAGAAATTCTACGTTCTGTACGCGGTTAGAGGTACTACGTTCTGTACGTGGTTAGAGATACTACGTTCTGTACATGGTTAGAGATACTACGTTCTGTACGTGGTTAGAGATACTACGTTCTGTACGTGGTTAGAGGTACTACGTTCTGTACGTGGTTAGAGGTACTACGTTCAGTACGTGGTTAGAGATACTACGTTCTGTACATGGTTAGAGATACTACGTTCTGTACGTGGTTAGAGATACTACGTTCTGTACGTGGTTAGAGATACTACGTTCTGTACATGGTTAGAGTTACTACGTTCTGTACATGGTTAGAGGTACTACGTTCTGTACATGGTTAGAGGTACTACGTTCTGTATGTGGATTGAGTAACTTTTTTTACATAATCAAAAACCCGTATGTTAGGAATGGTTTACTTTGGCTAACATATGTACACATTGATCTGACGAGAGATGGCGAGGATGTGATTTCCGTTCCATACCTCCCACATCCTTCCGTTCATACAACTAAACAAAATATAAAATATTTTTATTCCAAATCAACAATCAAGACATGTTTTCGCACGTTTTTCAGTTTAACTTCTAGACGTCAATTTATCACCTCAATTAGTCATTTGCTGAAGAAACTTGTACGCGCAAAACACACTTTTATCGGCATATCATCCTATGATGGATGACTATCATGGTTAGTTTTCTTGCAACCGATGGCCAATGTGGTCACTTATTTATTGTGGTCAGTTATTTGTTGTGGTTTATGTCATCTATAACCTTCGGCCCTCAGACTAAAACAATACATGGCAGTATTAGCAACCTATCTGAGTAACAAATTTCAAATAATAAACTCGGAGAGTTGTAAGGTCTTCAGAAATTCTCTAACATGCTGTATTTGATGCAATGATGTCTTAGGACGAAGTATTCTAACCACTAGCTGGTAAGATAGTTTGATAGCATATGTTTTCTATATGTGAGATTAGAGACAATAGATTCCTACCGAATCACTTGTGTAGAGATACCTGTCCACGTCATTTGGCAGTGAGATCTGTCCACGTAAATTGTCAGTGAGATCTGTCCACGTCATTTGTCAGTGAGATCTGTCCACGTCATTTGTCAGTGAAATCTGTCAATGTCAGTTGTTACCGAGATCTGTCCACGTCATTTGGCAGTGAGATATGTCCACGTAAATTGTCAGTGAGATCTGTCCACGTCATCTGTCAGTGAGATCTGTCCACGTCATTTGTCAGTGAAATCTGTCAATGTCAGTTGTTAGCGAGATCTGTCCACGTCATTTGGCAGTGAGATCTGTCCACGTAAATTGTCAGTGAGATCTGTCCACGTCATTTGTCAGTGAGATCTGTCCACGTCATTTGTCAGTGAAATCTGTCAATGTCAGTTGTTAGCGAGATCTGTCCACGTCATTTGGCAGTGAGATATGTCCACGTAAATTGTCAGTGAGATCTGTCCACGTCATTTGTCAGTGAGATCTGTCCACGTCATTTGTCAGTGAAATCTGTCAATGTCAGTTGTTAGCGAGATCTGTCCACGTCATTTGGCAGTGAGATCTGTCCACGTAAATTGTCAGTGAGATCTGTCTACGTCATTTGTCAGTGAGATCTGTCTACGTCATTTGTCAGTGAGATCTGTCCACGTCATTTGTCAGTGAAATCTGTCAATGTCAATTGTTAGCGAGAACTGTCCACGTCATTTGTCAGTGAGATCTGTCCACGTCATTTGGCAGTGAGATCTGCCCATGTCATTTGTCAGTGAGGTCTGTCCATGTCATTTGTCAGTGAGATCTGTCCATGTCATTTGTCAGTGAGATCTGTCCATGTCATTTGTTAGCAAGATCTGCCCATGTCATTTGTCAGTGAGATCTGTCCAAGTAATTTATTAGCGAGATATGTCCATGTCATTTGTCAGTGAGATCTGTCCAGCTACTGGATGGTTGAAAGATGAACAAGTAATATAATTTCAAATTGTCATACTTTTTTGTGAAAATCAGAAGAAGTAGAAACTTTCGTATCCTTTTACATTAACAGCGGAATCTGGCACAATTTTATCATTTTAACCACGGACGTGCAGGAAGCATACACTACTCGGTATCTACACGCAGATAGGATGGTCCGTTTTAACATTTATTCAGTTATGTCGAGAGTTGTCTAAAAATCGTCACTTTAACTAGGAAACAAACCAAACATTGTAGTAAAATAGCTGATCGATATATGTCACTTTTAAACCCGTTACCTGTGGCGGGGTTGTGGCCTCCTGTTTCTCAAGCTGGACGTACGGTAACTCCATGGTTTTCGTTGAGTTCATATCGTATGTAACGTTTATAACATTATCGTGGCCGGGCATGATGATAACAAGTTAGTCCAGTTTACTTTCATAATAATAAACAACGTGTGTTAAACAGGCCCATATCGATGTTATCGCCTGTCTATCTACTGACAACTAACCGGTCGGCTTCACAACGACAGGTTTTTACTCACGGCGTTTATCTGTAGGGCAAAGGGTAAGCTGTTGATGACATCAGAATCATTATCGATGACCGAACACAAACACACAAACAATGACCACGGTGCTTGACCGAATGCAGCGGATACGTTCGACAGTTTAATACTTTGTCTGGATTATAATATAAATGTAGGACCCAGACTGAGGAGACCAGCACTGGTTACACTCATGACCACGGGATTTGATCACGCGTGTCGGAGTAGTGGCTGTGTTACATCGTGTCTAAATTATCACCAATGTTTCTTTTTATAACAAAAAACAGTACCAGCTGTTTGGTACAAATCCCTGTCAATCCAAAATATTATAAAGTCATGTCACAAACTGGAAGACAAGTGTAGAAAATAGTCGTACTGTAAAACCGGACCCAAAGTAGAAAATATGACGTAACAGCAGTTCTGATGCTAAACGGCGGTTCTTTTACAACTTACAAAGTTTACATCGGTTTAGATCAGGATAATATTTCAGACATTAGAACAGTACTGTCGACGTGGACTTAGTCTGAACCATTCTCACCAAGTATCAATTTATCGACAAGGCAAGATCGCGATATTTCTGCGCGCAGAGTTTTCAAGAAAGAAAATTCTTCATTTTGAAAAAAAAAAAAAAATGAAAAGGGCAACTTACGTTGTGAGAATTTGGACTTAGCGAGATTACGGCGTGTGCTCAACTCTTGAGTGGAGAGCTCTAAATACTTTATTGAACTTTCAGATTATTTGAATCCATACCCTTTTGCGCCTATAAATAGAAATGACACCTTACCCTCAGATTGATGTCGACAGTTTTTCTTA